AACCTCATGATAAAGTACCAACACATTTTTGGTGGGAAAGAACTAGACCTTTCCAAACTATGTTTAAAAAAGTAATGGACATCCTTTGCTTTAAGGACCTGAGGCAATTAGAAGCTGGTTTTCATTTGATGAAGTGGGATACACAATTTACCTGTTTTTACAACAGGTCTCTTTGAATATCACTTTAGTTTTCTACTCTACACAAACAAGGGAGAGAAGGTCACTTTTTTCAGGCTGAAAGTGGGGCTCCCACTAGGGGGTCGATGGCTTTCTCTAGTTTCCACTAAAAGCATCAGGGCACATTTCAGGGAGCCTCAGGTAAGCTTGCAAAAGGTCAGTGCCTCATTTTCATGTCTCTCAAAGATGTTAAATTAAATATCCCACCCATTAGGTCAAAGGAATTATCTTGTGGGATCTTATTTGCTCCAAATTTACCAGTGAAAATGTGATATGACAGAAAATTATCAAAACCTGCTAAGTTGGTCCTCACAGAATGGCTAGCTTTGGCAAAAGATTATTCCAAACCACATTGTTCATCTTCCAACAGTTTGAACATAACAGAAACTGACATACAGCGTAGAGTCAGTGTGGAATCTCAAAAAACACAGTACATACACACAAAAATCTACTTGATGTGTGCGTGTGTATGTATGTATGCATGTGTGTATATATGGACTACGAAGAATGTTCATGAATTGGTTGTTTCAATAGTTTAGCCAAAATAACACATACATCAGAAAAAAGGAAAGAAAAAGGAGAGAATGTGGGAAAGAAAGGAAAACAGCTTGGGACAGCGTCAGCTTTCTCTTCAGACTCTGTAGTCTATTACACGTAACCCTCCACCCATCATCTTAAACTTTTGTTTTGAAAATGGTGGCAAGTGTCAGTTTTGCTGCAGAGGTGAGCTGCTTCCTGAAGAAAAACGAATCACTGCACACTCGATTGAGAAAAAAATGAAGAAAGCCCTTTTGCTCTAATTAGGGCCCATTTTAAGCAATTCATTAAGCCATGGCCCCGTGCCACAAGCCATCAGGAGGTGGAGCATGGGTCTAACTTCAGAGCAGAGCACACAGATGGAGCCTAATGATGCTCTCCATCACCGCAAGACAGGGAGCTGGGCAGGGGTGTCAGGGAGGTGCTCTGGATGAAGGCTGCTCACCAAAACCCCTGGCAGGAAATGGAAGGAACACTGGCTAGATCAAGTCAAGCAAACACAACAAGAAGCCAAACGACGTGACACTCACCACCAAACTCGTGCCTCCCCAAGGCCAACCAAGAGCTGCCTCTCTCTGCCACACAAATCCAGCCTTGGTCTGAGTCTCCTCTGAGTATCCACCTAGGAAGGACCCTGGTGGGTGGGCCTCAGATCCCTCTTCCTCCAAGGTCCCACTGCCGCCTTCACACACCACTGGGGTTCAGAGATAGGTGGAACCAGTAGCCCAAGTATGCAAAGAAGGAGGGAAGCTAGTTTTCTCTCAGGGAAGCACACACAGGAAGGGAGCCTGTGCTTCCTGTCCTAACCAAAATGAGTTCAGAAATCATTCGGATGTCTGATTTGTCAGACAGAGGGTGGAAAGGGGTGTTCTTTTAATCAACAGGAATTGTGACTTCCCCCTGGCGAGAAATGGTCATGGGAGAAAAGCAGTAGGGCCAGGCCTGCAAAGAAAAAGGCCAATGGCCTCCATGCCTGAGACTTGGTTTTTCAGCCTTTTTTTTTTTTTTTTTAACATTTATCACCAGCTGGTTGGCTGAACACACCCTGGTATCCATTTATTTATCACAGTCTAACATGAAAATGAGAAAATGCCAATGAAAATAATTTGCCAGTTGTCCTTAAATTGTGCCTCAGCCAGACATATCATATCTCCTTGGGACTTTCTCACGAAGAATAGCAGGATACCTTAAAACCAGGGCAGACACCCATTTTCCCCTCAGAAATACTTCGTAAATCATACTTTGTTGTCTGACATAGTTCACTTATAACAGGTGGTAGTGTACGCAAAAAAAAAAAAAAATGCTTACACGAATCTTAAACAAAATTGTTACATTATCATCCTGCAGCTAAGGGCTACATCAAACAAACACTATCAAAGAGCTGGCACTGAAATTCTAAGAACATGAGCATATGTTCCAGCAATGGGACAGAATAACCTGAGGTATAAAGTTAGTTACTAAATTGAAAGGAACATGAGGAAGCAGAGGTTTACATGGAGAACAAGGGTGTGAACATTTCATCAGCACCACCATGATGGATCCTAAAGCCTAGATTAAAAAAAAAGTGTGTGTGCCTTTTTTGAGCAACGATCAAGATCTCTTCCGAGATGTGAAATGGATTTCTGTTTCTCTCTCTGTATCCCCAGGAGAGATCACCTGTTGCATTTAAATTTCATGTGTTTTTCTATAAAATGTAATGATCACACGGCGAACCTATGAAATGAAGAAGCCTGAGAGAGCTAGAAAAGAGAACAGTCCTGTTCATAGGTTTCTAGCCAGAGCAGGAGCTACAGCTAAAAGGAGGAACCACAATGTCCCAAAATATTTGCTGGCCTTAAAAACAGGCATCGGAAGCTAATGGCTCCCAAGGAAGTCAGAGGCTCTTGGCTTGCCTTCTGAGGCTGAAATCACTTCCATCATTTTCCTCAGAACACGGCAAGCACAACTTATTTTACAGAGAGATTGCTCTGAACTGTCAAATATTCCAGGGGATGTAATGCTATTCTCACTAGAGTTGATGGATCTTGACTAACTGCAGTAATAGTACATGAATGTGCAAAACTTGGCAACCACTCAAAATTACCTAGTATTATAAAACTAACACGATCCACACCCAAATTTCCATTACAGAGAAACCATTTTTATGTTATACTTAAAAAAAGTAAAAAGTAAATAAGATGAAGGAAATTTATCCCTCATGACAGGTCTATTTGATGTGAAAACTTCTTCCATTGCCTCTTTCAAGCGTCTCTCACGCCACACAAGTGTGTGTGATGCGTGCAAGCAGGCGTACATACTAAACATGTAATTTATTTCCTATATGTCAATATAAATAATCCTGACATATGATCCTCTCAAAGTTTAGAAGTTCTGACATTCTCAGCAACAAAGTGCAGTTATATTAACTAAATACGAAACACACAAATTCAAATCAAGGAAAAAACTTCCTGAAACCAAAGAAACATCATCCTTATACTCAGCCTCGAGTGAAGTAAAGAAAATGTGGGGGCCTACGTCCCTGCCAGGCTTTAGATCTCTGGGCCAATGACTTCAGCGTGATCTTGATTGTTCAACAATGGCAATGTTGCAGGAACAGCCACCATTTGCTTTCTCTTTAGGAGAAAACATACAAACTTCCCCAAAGAGGCGAACACCATGCTCTCACACTTTATTAGTAGCCCTTGTCTGCTTGTGTGGCCACCATGGTGGGCTATTATTGCTATGATGCTTCTAAATTTGGGGGGAGACTTGGGGTCTGACTCTTCAATTAAAACACCAATGTATTAAACAAACAAGTACTTTGGAATTTCTTAACTCTAGGTTTCAATTATTACCAGGAACAACAACAACAAAAATCCAAAGTCATTAGACTGAAAACATTTTGGCCATCAGCAATAGTGCACTGTAAGCCTTGGAAGCACATTTTACCCTGTGATAAAAAGGAACAGCCATGCATGTTTGTGGGGAAAGTTGACCTTATACATGTTTTATCAAAAGTGTGCCTGCTTTATGTCCTCATCATGTTCTGTGTATTAAAGGGTGCTGATCCAATGTAAGCAGATGAATCTTTTGTCATGGATACGTGTCCCCGTTTAAATTTTGAGCCACATGCCAAATAATTTTATTTGTCCCTGAAATGATCTGGACACACACTAACATAATATGAATAATGTTTAAATTTTTACTTTAATACTCTCATAGAAAAAGAATGAATTCAAGTAATCTCATAGAACAAATATCTTCAAACAAAGAAGCTGAAGCAGGCACTGGGGTTTTCTTACAGATTTCACCTTCCTCTCAATTCATAACCAAAACGAACCAATCATTAAAAGCATTTCAATGTCTATGAAAAACATTATACATATTACACATTTTCAACAATTAAAAACATTATTATTTTTTTTTTTTACAGGTAGGTTGGGCAGTAAAGTCCTATTTCCCAAACACCACTTTGGTTATGGAAGTTTAAAACAAGGCAGCTCAAAGATGAAATACTTGTCTGCACCGAGAATAGAAATTATGCGTGGGTAACTTGAGCAAAACCGTACGTTAAAATTCACTCTGGGTGGGCTCCAGACCGAAAGAAAATGGAAACTGCTTCTGGCTCAGACCTTTTGAATTGGTACCCCTTTGGGTCACCGGATGCCATATCCTGCACTTACAAATTAGAAGGAAAGCAAAAGCTCAAGATTCCTTGGGAATCACCAGTAATGCCTGGCAATTAAAAACAAAACAACAACACACATTTCAAATAAATTGCAAGCATCCTGATGTCTATTTGATAACAGGGTCTCTCTGTGATAGTTTCCTGACCTGGGGTCACGCTGTGCGATGAGCAAAGTACGCTTTCAATACTCAGATCACTTCTGTTTTGCACAAAGCAAACTCAGACAGGATCTTACCAGAAAAGCTAATAGCTCTCGCAGCATCAAAAATAAGGAGTCTTTCCCCGTGACTTTGAAAATGCTGGCTTCTGTGATCTCTCTAGATATGTCGATATAAGCCTAAACATGAGCAGGACATGCTTTTCGTGGGACCCCGGGTTACTCAGAAATGCCTCAGGCTGGCCTGGTCTCGCACCTGCAGCCCCAACCTAAAATGACAGAAGTTTTGACTTAAGTCAAAGCAGTCCTCAGAAAGGAAAAAAAAAGATAGACGTGAGCGACACGGGCACTATGAATTTCGAACGACTCTCCTTCCTTTCTTACTTCTAATTATATAGATTAAAAAAAAATCCACCAGTTACCCCAAGTTTTCCTACTGAAATTTAATTTGAAAAGACTCACGTGGATTTGTGCGCCGCGCTTTGGGGGCCAAGACTGATCCTGGGGCGTGAAGAGCAGCCGGGAATATGGGACTCCTGCACCCCGCGGGACCTACCCAGTGTCTGCCCGCCTGGGCCGAACGTCCCGGGATGGGCTGCACTGCGCCGGGCTGCCGCTGTGCCGGCCCGGGCGCGGCCGCTCAGGCACTTGTTAGAGTGCCCTGCTAAGTTGGCGGCCGAGCAATTCCCAGCTTTCTTTCACAATGACTTCCTCAAGTTGCTCACTCGCATTGTTCCCCATTTCTCGCCGCACTCCCCGCCCCCCGCGGCTCCGACCCGGCTCTGGAGCCCCCGGGCCGCCCGGCCGTCCCGCGCGACAGCGCCGCCCGCGGGCAGCGCACCTGGCCCGGGCTCCCCGCGCCGCCACCTGCGGCCGCCCGGAGCGCGCGCCCGGAGCCCCGCACTAAACTTTGGGCTGGGGCACGCGACCCGCCTCCCGCTCTGCTGGTCCCACAGCCCACCCGGGCCTCGCGCGCGAACGCCTCGCGGCTTCGGGACACCGGCGGGGACGCGGAGCCGGGCCGGGCCGACAGAGAGACAGAGAAAGAGAGAGGCGCCGTCCCGTCCCCGAGCCCGCCGCCGGGTCCCGCTGCGGGACCGTAACTCCGCGACCTGCCGGGCCGCGCGCGCGCACAAAGTTTGCAGCCGCACCGGGGCTCCGGCTCGGCCGCCGAGGGACTCCGGGCGGCGGCGGGCACCGGCCGTACCTGCTGGCGCCGCCCGCGGCT